GAAACAGAAAACTCGCAAGAAGCTGACATTCGTACATACATTATAGAAAGAAGCACTCCCGTGCATTCACTTAGCTTAACCTTACATTACAATCTTAAACAGACTAATCAGTGGTACCTACTCAAGCCTTTGAACCTCAACAAACCCAAACAATAGACAATAACAACGCAGAAAAAGGAACTGTTTAAAACGGCAATAGACAAATTTTGATACACCAACCCAACTAAACGACCTTATATACCAAAATAAAAAAAAATTCTAAAAGGCTAGCCCGAATTGTAGATTTTATAAACACTGCAATTTTACCTAATCACATATCAACAGAGCAGGATTTTGAGACAATTCTCACACCATACTTTACTGCGCGGCATATACAACAGCTATAAGTAACGGAACCAAAATCATAGACACAAACACACCGCCTACACAAGTCGAAGAAAAGAACCTGCCTGGTAGAAAAGGTTGCAAAAAAAGATAAAGTATCTCAGAAGAAACATAAAAAGACTAACAGAATATACCACTCATCACTTTAGTAGAAGCAATTACAAACATAAATTGCACAAGGACGAACATATCGGAACCAAACCAAACTCGGAACAATTCCAGGTCAGTCTTCAATATATTGCCAATTTGATTCTGCTACTCACTCACTCTTCTATATTTTGTTATTTTGTAAAGTTTTCAAATATTTTTCATGGTCTATGAATATTTATAAGTTTTGTAAATAGTCGTTGTAAATGCGATTGTGACTGTTCTCGTTTAAGTTTATCTCCATTTATAGACTTAAACGAGCACAGTCTTTAAAAAAAAATGTATAGAACAGTTTTGTGGTAAATATGTATTAAAAGTGGACTTTATTACTAAAATCTTATACTATGATCTTTAAGTTTACCCTATATAAGAGAGGCCACATTCACAATCAAGCTTGTACACTCCTGCATCTTGTAGATTGACATTACACATGATTATAACTGACTAATATTCTTCGGAGGCTTGAAGTATGTTTTAATGGAAGCACGCTTCAAGTTGTAGGCAATCTTGTCAGTGAACCCTGGCATGTGGCAGTACAGCAAGCTCCGTACGGCACATTTAAAATTAATAATTTTAATCTGGAGATAACCGTGGTTAACTATGACATTGGGACGTCAAACACCTCAGTCCCCACCGTGACGATGGGTGCTGTAAAGTGCTTAAAACATTGGGAATATAATCTCTAGATAACTTAACGAACATCGTGGATAATTTTAGAGATTAAATAATCATAATATTATTCCGTTAAATAAGCTAGACTTTAAATGGCTAAACGTTCCTGCAATATCAGTACCCTCAAAAATCCTCGCCTACAACATTCAATATTATAAAGAACTTAATTTAATTCTAGGAGTACTCTAAAAATATAACTGACCGTTACATAAAATTACCGCCAGGTCACTACAGATCTTCCGGCTGCTACACAATTTATTATAAATATTCATTATTGTTTTCTATGAAACCCTTAAATTTATTAAAATGAACCAATTGTTAGCTGTCGTAGTCCTACAGATCAGATTTCATGGAATAAAACCAATAGTGCTTCAGATCTTTCTTAACTAATAAGTGGATTGCTCGAAAAATGCAGTTCATAAATGAAGATCGGCTATAGATAAAATATCCTCGCATTTCTGAATCTGGGGGCACGGCAGTGCCCCCGCCAAGTCGAGCAAAAAAGCGGCACGGCCGTACCATCCTTTTCTCGAAACAGTTTAGGCCATTTTAGAATCCCTATAACTTCGTTGTGGATAAAACTAGAAGCCTGAATTTTAACTAACCAAATAGGCATTGCATAAATTCGATATATTTCAAATTTTATTAAATTTGAACCAGTAGTTTAAGAATTATAGCTAGTCAAAGTTTCTTAATTTTGTCACTCACTGACTGACCGATCATCAAAACTCTAAGGCACTTCTAGCAGACATAGAAGCTTCAAATTTGGAATACAATTATTGTTTAATATATAAATCAAGGAAAAATTAAAATATTTTGCAATTTCGGTCCAGTTTTCAAGATACATTAACTGCATAAATAACTTTGTAATCCCATATAAATATATAGGATTACAAAGTTACATTTGCAGTGAATGAATCGTATATACGTATAATAATATACAATGGAATAATAGGTGTAGATAGGTACCTAGATATAACTATCTTCAAAAAGAAATGAGATGCCACCAAAAACATAACTTGTAAAAAAAGCCAAGTCCCGCAACTCAGTTCTTCTACCTTAAAAATTGTGATATCCATGTAATACCAAGTCGGTTAATTTATTCAGTCCCTACTTAAGGGTCTTCTTCTCTTCTTAAATTATTACGTAATTAGCTAACCTAACGAAGTCTTATAGTGACCATATCAATATCAAAAATCTTTTATGTTTTAAATAAATAAATTGACATGGCAATCGCACAAAGCAATTTTATTTAATACTAGCTGTGCCCGCGGCGTAGCTCGCGTATATAGGTTTTACTTAAAGAATTTGACGTTTAGGTAAGAGAATATTAAAAGATTTATATCATTACTGTATGAATAAGTGGCACCAAAATAAATCGTTATGCTCAAAGTTCTGAGTCGTTTGTGATAGAACTTCTGTGTAAACGACGTTAGAAGTAGACAGCCGGGGCGTACAGAAAAATGTTACGGGAGCTACTAACGCGGGAAAAAGCAACATAGAGTTGGCCATGTGCAAAACAGTCAGTACTGAGGTCTACTCCTGCAACGCGTAAAGTTTGACCTTGCGCTTTATTTACGGTCATCGGTCATCGCATAACACACGCTGACTGGGAATGAGAAGTGGGAACAGAACACGCTTACAACTGAAAGGAAAGTTATTTGATATAAGGTGGATTCTTGGTATAAAACAACATCATGACATATTGTTTTTGATGCAATTTTGCTACGTTTAGCTTGGGCGTACGTATCTTTTTTCTGATATCTGTTTTTGTTGATGTTTGTGCTGTTAGCTTACACCCTACACGGCTCTTTCAGCTTGAATGGACTCGTTAACGTACAACGCCATCTATTACGTTCTTCGTGGAAGACATCCTTTTTTAATTTAAGGAAAACATATTTTTTGTTTACTGTGTTTAAAGTATAAATATATTATAATAAAACGTTTTTTTATAAAAAGGAATCATTTTATTATTATTTCTGAGGTTTTATGGCGCCTTTAAACAAATCGAACCTACATTTCAAAATAATAATCAAAACTTTCGATAGAATTAACCTGTGTTTTTTAAAAGTTAATCTTTGAACTGGATGATACGCTTTATGATTTTCTAAACAATTTCTTTGAAAAAAGATGTTTACTTAAGACGTGATGCGTTCATAAACAAACAGACAGACAGACAATTCTAAAAATTATAAAAATGTACTTATTTAATGAGTTTCAGTCTCCATAATGATTTTAGTCACAAATTATATACAATGTACAGAATCAGACACAGCATGTGATTACCGCATGTATAGAGATATAAGGATAGATGGCGCTGTTAAAATCAATTCTAAAAATAAAAGAGATTAATTGACGCGATTGATACAATAAAAAAACTTAAAAGAACTTATAAATCAGGCCTACATCGTAAGCAAGAAAGAAAGTTTGATCCTCGCCGAAACCAACGAAATTGTTAATAGCTCTTTTAAAATTTGATTTACCATGTAGAGTACCCGGCGGTAAAGAATAAATGACATTGTCAATACACAGTAGGGCAGCGAGTAATTTAAAGATTAACAGCAAATATGAAAAGTCATTTACAGAAAAAAAACCACAACATTGCATGACATTTGTGCAACACCACCATCTATCGATGAAATGGGTTAACTATTGTACTTTAGATTTACATAATAAGGTTAATATATTTTTTAATATATTTATTACGTTCTTTATGCAATACTTTTGTTTACTGCGTTTAAGATATAATTTCATCATTATAGAACATTATTTTACATCATTTAATTATGTTATGATTTATAATATGATATTAGTTTAAAATGTACTTGATGACTCAACAAACGCCACCATTAAACAAATTCGTACCTATACTTTGTAGCCATACTTCAGAATATTTATCATAACTTTTGATGGAATGAACTAATTTTAATGAAATAAAGACTAAATGTAACCTGAAGATACACTTTATAAATTCCTTAACGATTCTTCTAATATAAATTGGTACTTTATACGTGATACGTTAACAAACAAACAGACAGACAGACAGACAGACAGACAGACAGAAAATTCTAAAAATGGTAGAAATGTATTTAATTACTTATTTTTAGTACCACTCTATCACTTTTATTATATAAATCTAAAATGTACAGACATCGGCTATTTACATTTTTATTATATGTATAGATAATATGTATTACTTGAGAGATACATTGTGTTTTCATGCGATGGCCAAGTCAATCTATTTATTTAAAATATAAAAGATTTTTAGTATTGATGTGGTCACTATAAGATGTTGTTAGGTTAGCAAATTACGTAATAACTTAATACAGAAGGACCCTTATGTAGGGACTGAATAAACTGGCTTTTTTTACAAGTTATGTTTTTAGTGGCATAACACTTTTTTTTAATCCAATTCTTAAGATGCTTGCAAATTCGATATTTAATTTATTGGCATATGGTAAAAAAAAGCTTCCTAAATATGCATCAAATTCATTTCCAATATTGAAATAGACCTTAAATATTGAAAGATTTTTAACATTGCAGTACGAATATCGCGTTTAGTGTAGAGGACGACAATAAGACCCTCTTTTTGACTACAGCCCTTCTCCCATTACGATACGCACAGGCGATTCAAGTATCCTGCAAGTCTTGGCGACTAGTCGCCGCCAAGTATCTCACATACATTTGAATGCAGGCTCGCACACTACGCTACTGGTATCCTACGCGTCCGCGACTAGTATCGCGCGACTCGCTGTGTTGGTCGCTTGTGCGTCGCGTCTCCTGTGCATCTCGACAAGATGGCGGCGGAGCAAGAAATAAATATTAAGTTTGTACAAGAAGTTGAAAAACATGCTTGTTTATATAACTACAAATTACCAGAATACATGCGGAAAAATACAATAGATAGGACTTGGGCAGAAATTGGGAATAAATTTCAAATAACAGGTTTGTTTTGTTTATACATAATAAGTAGTTTATTAATCAATGTTACATTGTATTTTGTAAACAGTATTGGTATTGCCAAGGCAATGAACCTTGCTCAGATATAAAGTAGTTTGCTAAATAATTTCGTTGGTTGTGTGGTGACATAGTTGCAGTTATTTCTATATTTTGAGGTTGTATAGTCATAGTAACGGGAATAGTGACCGATCTGTTTTGTATTACCTCCCTTGGACTATATAGAATACCCTCATGTTGTCGAACAAAGTTGTGTAAAATACACACTGCTTTTATTATATTTGATACTTTTTCTATTGTATGACATCTTATAGCTGTACTTAATACTTGAAATTTCTCAGTCATCATTCCAAAAGCACATTCAATTGTATTCCTCCCTCGGCTTATTCTGTAGTTAAACACCCTTCTCAAGTCATTTAAGGTTCTTTGGGGATATGGTCTCATGAAGTAAGATAGAAGGGGAAATGCCTCATCCCCAATAAAATAGTATGGAAATTCATAGTTAGATGGGTCATTAGGAAGTTTGGAAGGTAAAGGAATATTAAGACGTCCATGTTCAATCCAACGTTTGATCCTGGAAGCACTGAAGATTCCACCGTCGCTGTTCCTACCAGCATAGCCAGTTTCGATAACAGTAAATAATCCATCGGCATTACAACATGCCATTAATACTATCGAATGGTAGGATTTGTAATTAAAATTACTTGATCCCGAATTAGGTAATTTTTCTATTCTGATGTGTTTACCATCACATGCCCCTAAGCAGTTGGGTAAATTCCAGAGGCGATCAAAACGAGCAGCAATGTCTTTCCAATGTTGCACATTTGGTAATGGCATATAGTCTCTATTTAATATCTCCCATATTATAACTGTAGTTTCAGCTATGACCTTGCAAATTGTATTATCTCCTCTTGCAAAATACAATCCTAGGCTTACAAATGAACAACCTGATCCCAAATATCTGTAATTAATAACAATTAATATTAAGGTTATTTTCAGGATCAGAAGCTAAAGAAAAGTGGAAAAATCTACGTAGTGTTTTTGTTCGCCATTTGAAACCGCCTAAAAGTGGAGCAGGGACTGCGCAAAAAAAACCATACTACTTAGCTGATTTTATGCAATTTACTATACCGTTCATAAAAACAGCAGGAAAACCATCAGGAAATTTGAACGAGACAATAGAAGATAATGACACATTGTAACCACAGTCTCCTGAACTATGCGAACAAACACAGTTCACAGAAAGTGTACCTACAAGCACTCAATCGATCTCGCAACAGCATTCATCTCTTCCTCCAACAAGCACTCAATCAATCTTGCGACACCAATTACCACCAGCAACAAGCAATAAAAGAAAACGGAAGAAGCTTGAAGAAACTCAAGCTGAGCAAGATATTGCAGCTTATTTTAAATTGAAACGATCTAAAATTATAGAAAACTGTGACAGTACTGAAAATTCAAACAAAATGTTTTTACTGAGTTTACTGTCGGACGTGAATAAATTGAATGATAATCAAAGAAGACTGTTTAAGAGGAGAGTGCTTGAATTGATAGACGATATTATGGACCAAAGTAGTCCCATCACACTTTTATCTACTCCTTCACCGACTGACAGGGCAATAAGTACGCCAAATACCATAAATGAAAGTGTACAATCAAATACTGCCACACTATATTATGAATCAATACCTATGTTTTTATCACAGGAAGATGAAGAATAAGTAATAATTTTTATAATTGATTGAAATAGCCTATGTTTTAATTTGATGATTGATTGATTCATACTAAAAATTTAATATACATTTTTAATTACATATGTAACAATGGAGTATTATTTACCTTAGGGTTATCAGAATCCTTTCTTCCGCACTAACACACTCTCTAAATATAGTATTTCGTTGATGTATAGCAGGCTTTATTAATGTAACAAGATGCAGGTAGGTCTCTTTAGACATTCGGTAGAAAGACAAAAATTTATTATCATCATGTTGTAGTTCTTGTGCGGCTACAAAAACTCTACAATTTATGTTTCTTTCAATATATGGATGAATCCAGTATTTTCTACTCTTGCGTTGACGTCTTCTGTTTCTATAAAACAGAAAAGCTGCAAGTGCTTCTTCGTCACTAGAATCGCTCGACATAACGTCCGTCCACAAAAACGAGTTTGCACAAATGATAAATTTAGTCATTTTTCAGTAGCATAATATGCGAGCGTCGGGTAGCGAACAAGTATCCAACTAGTATTCTACTCGAGTATCGTACCTTACAAGTATCGTAATGGGAGAAGGGCCTACCTCGTTGATCTACTGGTCAAGTCCCGGGATGAAATCCCGGGTCGAGTTTAATAAGTTATTCGATGTTTCTGTCTAGAAATTCTCCGAAAGTCGTCAGAAAGTTGGGGGTGCTTCACCCTTGTGCCTCGGAAATCATATTAAATAATACAGCAAAGGAGTGAAATAATTTGCTGGTGCCTTTTTTCTTAATATATAGGATAAGGGTGTCAAACGAGCACACAGTCCACCTGATGGTAAGTGGATGTTGTGGCACACAGACATTTACATTTTTCCTCAATTAAGAATCAAAATGCGGATGCGCCGCCACCCCTGAGGACTGAGATGGAATGCCCGTTTACAGTAAAAAGGGTCTCATAGCAGCATTGAGCTACTATTTTACGCTGGTTTTCTGTGAGACTGTGGTCCTACCCCGGTCGAGCTGACCCATTCGTGCTGCAACCACAATATAGCTACAGGATGGCTCTAACACGTAAATCTCGACTATCTTTCTTTAGAAATAATAATAATATAGAATAGGCTTTTGTTACGCTAAGACAGTGTAATTTACCATCTAAGGCTGCATCACCACTTACCACCAGGTGGGATTGTGGTCAAGCACTGGCTTGTTGTAAGTAAAAAAAAAAACGTTAAGCCGTTTCTCTTATGCCCAATCTCTCTCTCTGGTCTTGTTGGTTTACCGTCCCAACAAACTATGAGAGTGAGGGAATAGAGAGTGCACTTGTGCTTGCGCATATACCCGGGCACCATAATCCTGTCATGCACCGATGGCTAGTTTCCGTTGAGATATTCGGTTTTGATGCCGTGACAGATATTCGGTATAGAGAACGACAATAGGACCCATAAGTATACTCAAATAACACCAGCTTATCGCTACTATGTTTCGTATGGTGCGTGTAGAGACGCGGAGACCCATTTTACTAGAAACGACGCATTCCAACTTAGTCCTCAAGGGTGACAACGCATCTGAATTTTGATTCGTAATGAAGAAAAATGTATATATCTATGGGCCACAGCATCATCCACATTCTTAAAACAGAGGCAGTCATAAATATTGCCGACTCAAGTGAAAACCCAATATATTTGCGTATACACATGTGTACATACAACGTACATATACTACTGTCTATGTAGTAGATATGCTCGTGACGTATTGCGCGAAAGCTTTAATTTTCACAGGCACATCATTGTATTTTATTAAACGGATGTAAGCAAAGTAATTTTTACCAACTTTAACTAGTTAAATCGATGGCATAGATATTTTTACTTTCGAAAATACCTTTATAAAGGGCAATTTCCAATAATATATTTTGACTTTGACTTTGCATTTGACAAAACTATATAAGTATGTGTACTTAGTGTTAATGTGAAGTTTATTTTGGTGTTTTACCCTTAAGAATCTTTTCATATGTACCGTACGTTATAAAAAATAAATGGGTAGTAAATTCAAGCGTTAAAAAAAGTGAAGCCTTTATGGTTTACCTCTGCGCAACATTCTTGCGCATCTCATAGTGCGAAATGAATTATTTACTATATTATATATAAGTCATATATTTTTATGTATATATTAATATAAAATATTATGTAATATATTTTATCATATAAATATAAATAAAGAGCAGAACTGACACGCACAATTTTTTTTTTCAAAAAAAGAATAAAATGTTTTTAACTATTTTTAAAAAAAAGTTACTTTCACAAACTAATTTTTGTGAAGACAGTTTACATACATAAATTGCACAAGGACAAACATTCAGATCTGAAACTAGTTTTTGTATGACCTACTTATAGTTATTAATATGATACTTACTTGATAAGCGCACTTTAAGTAACAATAATCTATAAATACTAATGCGACAAACTTTAAATCGATTGTGCTTTTTTAAACATAAAGACACGATATGTAAATTGTACCTGTGTGAAGCCTGGGCGGGTCGCTTCTGCTATATAATAATACAGTTTATTATCTTGCGTTGGTGTTTCCAACCGGTTAAACCACAAAGGATGGTTAAAGAGACAAAGTTTCTAACATGCATTGAAGGAAATGAACAAATTTTAGATTTAACTTGTTACCTAAATTGATTTGAAATTGTATTGGATGGATTATGATTTAGTTCGAGTGTTAGTGGTAATGATGTTATTCTAACTTTGATGATTTAAGTGCGAATTGAAAATTGAACCTTGTTGCTTTTAGAAAAAAGCCTGCTTTAAGATGGTAATTTTTGAAGTGAAAACTTCTTTAGCCGCGTCGAGCAATTTTTGTTAGGAGAAAAACAAAACTAATAGGTTCGCCTCACTGAGTACCTTCACACGCTCGTAACGTATTGCGCGCTAGCGCAATAAATACATAACGAGCATGTCCACCGGCCTGTGTATGTACACATGTGTATACGTAAATATAATTGAGATTTCACTTCTGTCAGTAGTCCTTATGACTGCCTGTGTTTTGAAAATGAGGGTGATAATGGAGCGCACGGTCCATCAAACGGTAAATAGATGCTGAGGCCCATAGACATCTTCATTTGTCCTTAATTAAGATTCAAATTTCAGATGCGTTGTCACCTCTGATGCCTAAGTTGGATTGCGTCGTTTTCAGAGAAAAGAGTCTGTGCTTCTCTACACGCAATATACTTAACCTAGTAGCGATAAGCTGGTGTTATTTGAGAGTGTGTCCTTTTGGGTCATATTGTTGTCCTCTATACCTAATTTCTGTTACAGCGGCCAGTGTCATCGGAGTGTAGCCATCTTCGCAGGTCAGGATTATATAGCAAGCACAATTGCACTCTCTATTCCCTCACTCTCATAGTCTGATAGGACGGTAAACCAACACGACTGGAGAGAGATCGGGCGCAAGACCTCGAGAACGGCTTTAAGTGATTTCCTAGGCATGGGGGTGAAATACCGAAAACTTACTGACTATGGGCTGCTACTGATAATTCCTTGACAGAAATATCCAATAACTTATTGAGGCCGACCCCGGATTCAATCAAGGGACTTCTTGACCACTAGACCAATAAGGTAGTCAAATAGTGGGTCTTATTCTACGTGGTATTCGTACTGCAACCATAATATAGCTGCGGCGTGGCTCCATCACAATATTTAAAGCCATGATCAATATTGTAAATGAATTTGATATATTTTAAAAAAGCTTTTTTTACAATGAGCCAAAAAATTAAATATCGAATTTGAATGCAACTTAATAATAGGATGAATAAAAAGTATTATTCAAAAATGCGAGGATATTTATCTGAAGCCGATCTTGATTTATGAATTGGATTTTTTCAGCATTCCAATTACCAGTTAAGAGAGATCTCAATTACTAGTTCAGTTTTATTCTATGAAATCTGATTTGTGGGCGCACGAGAGCTTTTTTCAATAAATTCGGTCCGTTCAATAAATTTCAAGGGTATCATAGAAACGATTAATTAATAAAGTTTATGATAAATTTAGTAGTTAGTCTGTGTGCTATATTTTGTTCATGAGTTCATGGTATATTTTATTGTTTATGGCATTGTAAGAGAATCATTTATTATTATTAATTATACCCTATTTCATCCCGTAAGAGGTGATAGAGGGACAAACAGGAGGTGGCAGCAGCATCTTTTTAATAATTCTTTATAAAAAATAAAAACTTCGGTTGCTAAGCTGCCAGCCAATGGTGTAAATAGTGAATATCCAACCTATGAAGCAATCTATGAGGAAGGCCTATGTCCATTAGAAGAATTTGATAGGCTGAAATTATGATAATGATAAGTTTTAATTCATAACCAAGGATTAGTTTAGATATGGGCTCAGGTATACTGTGTGCTCACGCGTAACCCTTATATTAAATAATAATTAATTAATTAAAATAATTTTTGTGAACAAATGTACGTCACTAATCAGTTTTTTATTGAAAACAAAGTTACTAC